AGTGTCTTGCACCCAGCTACACTTAGCACCACCGAGCGTCTCGCACACAGCTACACTCAGCAACCACGAGTGTCTCGCACAAAGCTACACTCACGAGTGTCTCGCACAAAGCTACACTCAACAGGGTAGTGTCTTGCACAAAGCTACACTCAACCCTCTTTCTACACACAGTAGAGGTAAGTTTAAGAGAAAACAAATTTCTCTTCTAATGACTTGAAGAATCTCTCGTGTAAGCTCAAAAATGGATATTTCGAATTTTTTGCTTTTCTTTGTATTGCCTTCTCTTCTCTGCCCTTGCATCATGTCTTCAAGTCTTCATGGTATATATAGCTGAAGAAGCTACATTACCGTTGTAGCATCAGTTGATCTTGATCGTTCATCTTGACCAGCTACACATTATTGCCAACTTGCATTGCGGTGATTTAATGCAAGAGATGGGCTTCCACAGTGAGTTTGAAAATCCTCACCTGACAAATCTTCAAAAGTCATACATATCGGCTCATCAGCTAAAATTTCTCCGAAAAATAATTACCTTATCTTGACGGATTCAAAATGATGAAATCTTCCAAAAGATTTTCTGCGGATTCTTGCTTGAGTAAAAATTATATCTTCGTCCATTTCTTCTTCTGAAATGATTTGAGATGCATAGCAAGATATTTAAATGAGAAAGAAGATGTGTAGAAGAATTCACGTGCATCTTCCTTATCATGTCCACAAGCTTCTAAACTTGTAGTCAAATTAGTATGACATGTGTCCACATTGTAGCATGCACCCAACAAGTGTCATACTTATAAAATATGCTTCTAATGGGATTTGATCACAAGCCCAATCAAATTTGTCTTCTAAGCTTGTACCACTGCACCATATTAACTCATTGGTTAATATTCCTGGATTTAATCTTTATTCCCAGAATGGCTTTAGTAGAATTTCACATTATTTCGTAGAATAATCCGAGTCTGCCCCTTGGTCGTCCCCATCAGCTCCTTAGTCGTCCCCTTCTTTATCTCTTACTTAAAAATGTAGAGATTGAGTCTTAAACCCGTGACCTTTGACTTTAACAACCTTGTTCTTTATCCACTTCACCGCTTCATCCTTTGGTGTCTTCTAAAATAAATAAATCTCAAATAGTAACATTCTGGATAAGTATATTTTGCTAAGAATTCGTAGACTTTTATGGCTTGACTTGGGACTTAGGCTAATAGACAACTAGACTCAAAATAAAATATGGGGGTTCTAAAAATATAAATTTGGCTCATCAAAACTATTACATTTTATTCCTAACAAATTCCCCCTTTTTCAGATGCCAAAACCTATACCCGAACATTTTGGCTTAGTCTAGTCAAAAACAATAATCTTTTATTTTTCTTTCTTTTATTTTATTTTGACTAGCCAAATTGACGAGTTTGACAATTTTTGGACCTAAAAACTTTTTACTTTTAGACACGTAAAAGAGGTTGCAATTTTTGAGGTTTGATTTTAATTTCTTTTTGTCAACTTGTTTTCTTTCCTCAAATTGCATTTACAATACTAAACATGTGTCTAAAAATTAAAAAGCATAAAGCTAAATAAAATATGACTAGATAATAGATAGATTAATTAATTGCATAAAATCCAAACAAGCCATATTACAACCTTAGCAAAATATATTTAAATATCAACATTTTCACGGTCCAATCATGCTATTGACTCTAGCTCTTAGCTTAACGAAGTTACCTTTGCAATTAGCATGATAAAATAATTGCTTCACTTGCCCTTTGATATAGCATGAAAAGGCTCCACGTATATCTCCCTTGTTTGTTGGAAAAACATTTCGAGTGTACCATTTGGCACATTCGAAAATACTCCTTCCTTCCTCTAGTTTGGACACGTCGGGTACACGTGCGGCAAATGATGCAATGACATCTTCATTCGGTGAACTTCCTTCCCCCTGAAGGTATGCATGGCCCGAACTGCTCGAGCTTTGTCCACCATGTCCAAATCTATTACCAAAATGAGAGGGTTGTTCTCTTTCCCCCTTTTTGGTGTCATCAAAAATGGACTTAACCATGTCCGTGCCCTTCTTGGATAATGTCACAATTTCCTTGACTACCGAGTCTGTTCGCAATGTAGTGCTGGACATTCCTTGGAGAAAATCCTTGATTGTGGATAAATCCTTCTTGATCATTCGAATTTCATCTCCATGAGTGTCAATCCTTTCGATTGTTCTTCGTAGATCCTCAACCTCCACGCACACTTTGAAAAGCAACTTTTCATGCCTAATCTTGTGTATATTATTGTCGGCTTGGTGAGACTCTAAAAGGTTGGCTTGAGCACTTCTTTCCTTTTCAAGGGCAACCGTTAACCTGTCAACAAATGAATTCAAAAATTCAACAATTGTTGGGTTAGATTTTTCAACATGTGCTCCAATGGCCTCTTTTAGCTCCTTCAAGGCCTTGAGCACCTCAACATTTGAACCTCTTGTTTGGTCAATTTCCTCTTTTTCTTTCGAATTTTCTTCCAAATTGTCAACACCAACATGTTCATCATCATTCCTTTGAATTTCATCCTCATTTGCTTGTTCATCCATCTCAACATCACCTTGTTGTTGTCCTTCCTTGGCCTCTGGATCTGCTCCTAAGTCAGCTGGTAACACTGGTTCATCAGCCACCACAAAGTCAGTGTCAAAATCTGCCACAAAATGAGAATTCAAATCTGCCATATGGTCATCCCCAGTGTCATCTCCCTGGTCATCCCCTGCTTCTTCTTCTTGGATTTCTTCATTTTCATCTGCCCGGATGGTGTTGGCAGTGTCCAAGACTTCATTTTGTTCCTCAACAACAACTGTCTCAACATCAGCAGCCACATCCTCATCTCTAATCTCAATTCTTGGTGTTCTTTTCCTTCTAAAGACACGGCTTAGTGGAACATCATCATCTTCATGAACATCTTCTTCATGAACATTTTCTTCTACCCTTTCTCTCTTAACATTAACCTGAAATAGGTACTTGCTAGAAAGAATTGACTTTCTATCCTTCATTTGGATGCCTTTTCTTCTCAAAAGTTCACCAATCATGAGACCGTAACTTGGCTTGTCTTCTTTGTTCACCATTGTGACCAATCGGTTGAATATTACTTTACTCCAATCCAATTTCTTTCCATGTACCACAGCATGCATCATACTGGCTATTTGCAAGGTAGACTTATCAAATCCACCTAATTTACACAAAACACACTTGGCAAGTACTTCAACCAGTTTACAAAATTCCCATTTGAACAAATCGGATTTCCTTCCAGAATATTTGGGAACAACTAAACTGTCCTTAACTCGAACCATAGGCCAAAACTCAAACTAATCAAAATAATAATTATCCAGAGTAATATCATGCTTAGAAAAATCAAACAACTCCCTAATATCATTCTGATCAACAGATACTCTCACACCATTCACAGAAGATTTAATCACATTATTTCTCATTTTAGCATGCTTGAAAAAATCAAATGCTTCATCATCAAAAATACCCATATAACGAAACATGCAAACCTTTTGTAGACCACATTTCTCCAATCCATCCAGAATCTCTTGAGCAAGAACTGGATTTGTGCAAACTTCCTTGAAATCGGCTGGGTCAAGTAGGTGCCCAGTGTTGACTTTCTCGATTGAGGCAGTGGGTGGTGTGCTCTTGGATGCTTTTCTACTTGAGGAAGCCATTTTTGGAGTTATTTTGGAGTGGGTATCAAAGTAAAGTGAGAATGAGAGGTTTTTGGGTGGTTCGGCTATGGTTGTCTCGTAAAAGAGAGAGAAGAAGAGAAGAGTTTTGAAATTGGGTGTGTTTGGGAAGGGGAAGAGACGAGTAAGACCTTTTAGGACTAGATGGACGAAAATACCCTTAATGATAGGCTTAGTGGGTCTTGACAATTGAGGGTAATTTGGTCAAAATTGAGTATAGAATAGAAATGTGTTCAGCTCAAGATATCCCAGATGAATTAGATACATGCATAAAAGATACATGCAAAAATATTTTGTCAAAAGGGATAATCATTAGATCAACCAAATTCAATGGGGTAGATGCACAATAAATTTCATTCACTGACACAAAATCCATGTGTTATGCAAACAAGACAAATCATTTTCCAAGGTAAAATTTACATGTGCCAGGTAAAAACTCTATGACTTACAGATGGCTATGCTAGTGAGTAGGGTAAAAACTTATAGAAATCACATAAGGGACACATACAGACTAGATTAGAACATGCAAATGATAACATTAAATTTTTTGATACCAATTGTTATAAGATACGAAAAAAAAAATTATTAATTTAAAAGAAATGTACTTTAATAAACACAAAATCAAATAACATGCAAAACACAATTAACGCAAATAATTATGCAATTAACACATATAGGTACGTGACAAATAAATTAAACACAATAACCAAAATTAATTAAATTGAGCTTAAGGATAGAAAATATGATACTTAGCTCATTTCGATCATGCCCAACTCATGCCTTAGAGTGATAAATCGTGATTCGCACAAAGGCTTTGTCAAAATATCTGCTAGTTGATTTTCTGTTGGTACGTGATCGATTTTGATGTCTTTCTTCTCAACGTGATCTCGTATAAAATGGTGTCGGACATCAATGTGCTTCGTTCTTGAATGAAGTACTGGGTTTTGAGAAATTGCTATGGCGCTAGTATTATCACAGAAAATACTAACTTCATTGCAATTGACTCCATAATCTTTCAATTGCTGCTTCATCCATAGAATCTGTGCGCAACAACTCCCTGCAGCGATATATTCGGCTTCGGCTGTGCTTGTTGCAATGGAGTTTTGCTTTTTGCTAAACCATGAAACTAACCTTCCCCCTAAGAACTGGCACGTTCCTGAGGTACTTTTTCTATCAATTTTGCAACCTGCAAAATCTGCATCTGAAAAACCAGTTAGTTCAAAATTTCCTTCTTTAGGATACCATAATCCAACATTAATGGTTCCTTTAAGATATCGGATAATCTTCTTGAAAGCAAGTTGATGGCTTTCTTTTGGCTTAGATTGGAATCTTGCACATACACCCACTGAGTAAGATATACCGGGTCTACTCGCAGTGAGATATAATAAAGATCCAATCATTCCTCGATATTGCGTCTCGTCAACATCTTTGCCTTCATCGTCTTTGTTTAATTTGACTGCATGTGCTCATTGGAATTTTCATTGAACTCTTTCCTTCTTGGCCGAATCTCTTAAATGAGATCTTTGGTGTATTTGGCCTGATTTATGAGTATTCCTTCCTTCAGTTGTTTTACTTGCAGTCCAAGGAAGTAGTTTAGCTCTCCCATCATGCTCATTTCAAACTTGTTCTGCCATGAGCTTAGAAAATTTCTCACATAACAATTTATTAGTACTTCCAAAGATAATATCATCAACATAAATTTGTACTAATAATATATGATCATTTTCTTGAATTTTAAATAAGGTTTTGTCAACAAGGCCTTTGGTAAACCCACAACTAACTAAGAACATTGATAGGGTATCATACCAAGCTCTCGGTGCTTGTTTTAACCCATATAATGCCTTCTTTAGTTTATAGACCTTATCAACATTACCTTTTACCTCGAAACCTGGGGGTTGTTCAACATATACTTCTTCTTCGAGTAGGCCATTTAAGAATGCACTTTTTACGTCCATTTGATAGACTGTAAAATTTTTGTAAGCTGCAAAGGCTAGAAAAATTCTTATTGCTTCCAATCTTGCAACCGGGGCAAATGTCTCATCAAAATCTATTCCTTCTTCCTGTGAGTAGCCCTTTGCGACTAGCCTTGCTTTATTCCTAACAACGATTCCATCTTCATTTGCTTTATTTCTAAAGACCCATTTTGTTCCAATCACGTTGTGATTAGATGGTCTCGAAATAAGCTCCCAAACATCGTTGCGTTCGAACTGATTTAGCTCTTCTTGCATTGCTTCCAATCCAACTAGGATCTTTTAAAGCTTCATTTATGTCCTTCGGTTCGACCTGAGAAAGAAAATATGAAAATAGGGTTTCTTGTAATGCGGATCTAGTTCTCACGCCATCATGAATATCTCCAATGATTTGATCTTGTGGATGATTTCTTAGCCACTTCAAATCTGGTTGAAGATTGCTTTGAGAAGTAGAGGGTTCGTGTGAGGTGGAAGGATTTGTGGTTTGATCCATTCGTTGATCTTCACTATTAGTTCCAACTCCAACCCCAACACATTCCCTTACTTCTTCCCTTATATCATCTTCCACATCGGTTTCTGTTCCGGAGCAGTTTAGATTGCTATTTCCCTGCAAAATATCTTCAGAAATTTTATTAGTATTATTTTCATCATTGATACCAACTGTTGGTGATTCCTTGCTTTTCGAGAGTTCATCAAACACGACATGAATGGATTCTTCAACCACCATTGTTGATTTATTTAATACTCTGAATGCTTTGCTGGTGGAAGAATATCCTAAGAATATTGCTTCATCTGCACGTTGATCAAATGTTCTTAGATAGATTTTGCCATTATTAAGAACAAAACATTTGCAACCAAATGAATGAAAATAACTAAGGTTAGGTTTTCTCCCTTTCCACAATTCATATGGTGTCTTGTCGTGCAACTTGTAGATTAGACTTCTATTTTGGGTATAGCAAGCAGTATTGATTGCTTCGGCCCAAAAGCGTTTAGGTAGCTCGGCTGCAGCTATCATTACTCGTGCGGCTTCTTTAAGCGTACGGTTCCTTCTTTCGGCAACTCCGTTTTGTTGTGGAGTTCTTGCGGCTGATAGTTGATGCATAATTCCTTGAGTATTGCAGTAATTTTGAATTACGCTATTCACAAACTCTGTTCATCTATCGGTACGAATTTTGACAATGTTGACTTCCTTTTCATTTTGAAGCTGTTTGAGAAGTTCTGGTAGCTTCTTCTCTACCTCATTTTTCTTGTGGAGAAATATCGTCCATGTGTACCTGGAAAAATCATCAACAACAACAAGAGTATATTTCTTACCACTCATACTTACTGGCTCCACAGGACCAAATAGATCCATATGTAGTAGACTAAGAGGTCTTTGACTTGATTCGTGTGTTTTTGTCTTGAATGATGATTTGATTTGCTTTCCCTTCTGACATGCATCGCAAATCTGATCCTTTCGGTAGGTGATGTTGGGTAGTCCTTTGACTAGATTTCTCGTCATGAGATTGTTAATGGTTTTGAAGTTGAGATGACTCAACTTTTTGTGCGATTCCCAACCCACATTGCTTGAGTTGTTTGCTACAAGACACACAGAGTCTTTGGTTGTGCTCCAGTCTACAACATACATATTGTTCTTTCTTATTCCTTCGAGAGCAATCTCGCCTGTGGATCCGTTCTTCACTTGACACTTGTCTTTGAAAAACTCTACAAGATAGCCTTTATCGCAAAATTGACTTGTGCTCAGCAAGTTGAACTTTAATCCTTCAACATAGGATACGTCTTCTATTTTTAGATCATTGCGGGATACTGTCCCTATTCCTTTGGTTGTACCATATCGATCATTTCCTCCAAACACAACTTTTGGCCCTTCAATGTTTTTAAAGTTCACAAGACTAGATTTATTTCCAGTCATGTGTCGAGAACATCCACTATCGAAGTACCAAATTTCCTGCAAAACAGTTTACGCATTTTTAGGTACCCAACTTAATTTGGGTCCTTGAGTGTTAGTCCTTTTTGGTATCCAAATCCACCTAGTTCTTATTGATCCAAGATTAGGTGATTCGTAACCATTGAAAATATTGTAATCATATCTAATTTTCGAAAAAGGTTTTGGTGCCGGGTTTTGAAAATTGACTCGATCTTTTGGCACTTGGGAAGAGATTTGTTTGAGCCTATGAAAGGCATTAAATCTGGACTTAGTCCATGATTTAATATCATCAAACCAATCTTGTTCAGAGGGATAAAGTCTCCCTGCCCCAATCCTCGGAGTTCTTCCTGTTCTCCTATGAGGACTTTGTGCACTTGACTCATTGGTATGTTTCCATTTAGGAACAAACTTTTGCCTATTCTTTGACTGCATTGGCGAATTGAATTTTCTTTGAGGCTTCGGCCTTGCAGTAACATTTTTGGCATTAGCTTGATAACCAATTCCTTGTCTCAGTGTGCTATCTTGACCTTTTACAAATTTTACTACTTGGACTTTATTAGTTAAAGCAGTAGTAGAATTGGTCAATTTCTCGGAGGCTTGAGAACACGATGGATCATAACCAAGTCCGGTTTTATCACTTGAGGGTTTTTGCATATTTACCATTTTATCCATTATTTTGGATGAATGAGTAAATGTTGCTATAACCTCTCTAAGGTTGTGTTCTCTCACTTCCCTTGATTTACACTCTTCTTGAAGTCGAATATTTTCGTCTTTCAAGTCTCGTATCTCAGATAGAGCATTTTGCAATTTTTCATTTAATTGATCTTTTTCAAGAATCAGTAAAATATTGCGCTCCTTGATTTGCGAGTAAGTGTCCATCATGGTTTGACAATCCTTCATCATATGAAAGATAGACTCTTTAGAGAAAGATGAACTTACAGAATCAAATGATTTAGATGTTACCTCATCATCATCTGTTTCGTGTGCCATAAGACATAGATCTTGACTATTTGAATTGCTTGACATGCTCATTCCAAATAGTGCATTATCATCTGTAGAGCTGTCACTTTCATTGCTAGAAGATTCCTCAGACTCACTTGTTTCTAGTGGGTCACTAATAAGAGCTTTTCTTTTGTCTTTCTTGTTGAATCTCCTATCCTTGACTTTGGTTTCCTCCTGCACGGTGTTAGATTGATTTTTGCTCACCTTGGGATAAGGACATTCGGCCATAAAGTGTCCAGGTTTTCTACAGTTGTAGCATAAATTCGAATTCTCCTCCAAGGTTTCCTTTTTATGCCTTCGTGATGTGCTTGCTTTAGGAAAACTTTTGTGATTGTTTTTCCTCATGAACCTTTTGAATTTCCTGACAAACAAAGCAAAGTTTTCGTTATTTAATAATTCACTTTTATCTACTGACCTTGACGTGGATGGTTGTTCGGCAACTAGTGCGTTGTTCTTTTCTCCGTGTTCTTCCTCCATCCTTGACTTCATTTCAAACTCATAGGCTTTCAGATCACTAAAAAGCTTATCAGTTGATAGAGTCTTTAGATCTCTATGATCACGCATGGCAGTGACTTTCATGTCCCAACTTGACGGTAAACCACGTAGGATTTTGAGTGAGATTTCCTTTTGATTAATGTCTTTTCCAAGATCATTAATTTCTCCCAAGATTTTGGCAAATCTTGTTTCCATGTCGGTAATATTCTCGCCACTTAGCATTTTGAAATCCTCAAATTTCTTTAATGCTATTGTAAGTTTATTATCCTTTTCTTGTTCGTCACCTTCACCAATTTGGATGAGTGTCTCCCAAACTTCTTTTGAGGATTGGCATTTTCGGACTTTTGGGAATATCGTATCATCGATAGATTTGAACAAAATATCCTTGGCAATATTATACAAGTTATTTCGTGTTCTATCTTCACGAGTCCAATCCACTTTAGGCTTTGCAACGTATTGTGGAGTATCACTTGTTTGTACAGAAGCAGTGTTCACTTGCAAGATTTCAATCGGACCATTAGAGATTACTTCCCACATTTCATCATGTAGTGCAGATAAATGTACCTGCATGCGAATTTTCCAATCATCAAATTTTTCTAGAGAAAATAATAAATTTTGGGCAAGAGCCATATCTCTTTTCATCATCTTGATTTTTCGAGATCTGTCTAGCAGTCAAAATTGACTCGACAACCGATCTGATACCGATTGTTGGTATCAGTCAGAGACAATTTGACCCAAGAAGGCAACCCGCTCTGATACCAATTATTGGTCCCGATAAGGTGGTAAAAAGTCTAGAGGGGGGGTGAATAGACTTTTTAAACTTTTTCACAATTAATAACACTTTGGTAATTTCAACTCTAAGTAACAAGATATGAAACTTAGATGCGCAGCGGAATAAATTAAACAATCAAGTGTTACGTAAAAATCAAAGAGATATATCACATGCAATATTATGAATATGCTTGCAAAGGCTCAAATAATAAGTATGCTAATTTATGTCCACATGCAAACGTGAAATCTACTAAACCCAGATGAATAAATTCGAACAGTATATAAAATGGGTCAGTCAAATATTCAACATGCAAGATAACAAAATATTTAAAGAGATGGTTCACTCAATATGTGTGTGATGTCACGTGTGAATCAATGAGTGAGTCCAAATGGAATTGTGTCTGCATGCACTTGTAAAGTCACATAACCCAATCAATAAGATAAATGAATAAGACGAATAGTAAATGGGTTAGTATGCATGCAATAATAAATAAAGGCAGTATGTAAATGAGAGAGGCAATTTATAGTGGTTCAGAGGTGGTGTAATCCTCCTAGTCCACTCTTCTCCTTTCACTCCAAGGAGGAAATTCACTATCTCGTTCACCCAGATACAAATAGTGAATCAAGTGCACACAGGCACTTCCCGAGTGTTTTGCACACAGCTACACTCAATCCCGAGTATTTCGCACAAAGCTATACTCCCGAGTATCTCGCACAAAGCTATACTCCTACACCAACTAAGTGTTTTGCACCCAGCTACACTTAGCACCACCGAGCGTCTCGCACACAGCTACACTCAGCAACCACGAGTGTCTCGCACAAAGCTACACCCACGAGTGTCTCGCACAAAGCTACACTCAACAGGGTAGTGTCTTGCACAAAGCTACACTCAACCCTCTTTCTACACACAGTAGAGGTAAGTTTAAGAGAAAACAAATTTCTCTTCTAATGACTTGAAGAATCTCTCGTGTAAGCTCAAACTAGATATTTCGAATTTTTCTCTTTGTGTATTGCGTTGCCTTCTCTGCCCCTGCTTCATGTCTTCAAGTCTTCTTGGTATATATAGCTGAAGAAGCTATATTACCGTTGTAGCTTCAATTAATCTTGATCGTTCATCTTGATCAGCTACACTTATTGCCAACTTGCATTGCGGTGATTTAATGCAAGAGATGGGCTTCCACAGTGAGTTTGAAAATCCTCACCTGACAAATCTTCAAAAGTCATACATATCGGCTCATCAGCTGAATCTTCTCCGAAAAATAATTACCTTATCTTGACGGATTCAAAATGATGAAATCTTCCAAAAGATTTTCTGCTGATTCTTGCTTGAGTAAAAATTATATCTTCGTCCATTTCTTCTTCTGAAATGATTTGAGATGCATAGCAAGATATTTAAATGAGAAAGAAGATTTCACGTGCATCTTTCTTATCATGTCCACAAGCTT